ACTCGTTAGAACGAGCATCCCGAGCTCTTTCTAATGCAACTTCAACCAACTGGATCTACAGTGTATCCCGATTGTTATGAAGGTTTTCCCTTTTCGTGCTAGCGGCGCTTCGCCGAAGGCGCACTCATGGTCGGATGCCTTTAGAGGTCCGGGCCCTTCTCCTGACGTCTTTAGCAAAACCTCCTCCTGAGGTGTCTGCGCCGGAAGCGTAGCTTCCTTATACGCTAGAGGCGCGTGAATAGAGACACCTCAAAAAGGAGCTTTTGCCGAAGGCGCCGAAGACGTTGGCGTTGGTACATCCGACTACGTGATTCTTTGTGCCCTCGTGACGATCTCATCAATCCACTCTATTTAGCGTACCATTCTCTTGCTACAAACACTGCTTTGGTACTAGTTTTCTAAAATTGTTTAAATTCTGCAAAAAAACAAAAAGTGTGTTACCACAGTCCGGGCCCTTCTCCTGACGTCTTTAGCAAAACCTCCTCCTGAGGTGTCTGCGCCGGAAGCGTAGCTTCCTTATACGCTGGAGGCGCGTGAGTAGAGACACCTTAGAAAAGGAGCTTTTGCCGAAGGCGCCGAAGACATTGGCGTTGGTACATCCGACTACGTGATTCTTTGTGTCCTCGTGACGATCTCATCAATCCACTCTATTTAACGTACCCTTTTCTAACTACAAACACTGTTTCGGTACTAGTTTTCTAAAATTGTTTAAATTCTGCAAAAAAACAAAAAGTGTGTTACCACAAGCATCTCAGATCTCCTCGGTCAGATTGTTTGGCTTGTGATTAGAAAGACTTTGCAGTTTTACGTTGACGATGGTGCAGAGTTTGTGAGAAAGAGGTAAAGAAGTAAGAATCTCAATGAGTTCTTAGATATGTGACTGCAGCTAGCTAGATTTGTTGCGCCCAATCTGTCGTCTCTGCTGATTTTCGTCTGAACAGGGTGCTCGGTACAATTTGTGAAACAACCAGAACAATTTATCTGCTTTTTCTTGAACTGCTGTCAGGAGTGACAGATTATGTTATTCAAAAGCAGCTTAATTGTCTGCTGTAAACTATATGCGAATGGGAGTTAATTACAAAAGGATTGATCTAGAGTCTGCATTAGTAGAGGTCCACAAGTTCTTACATGTGCGCACGCTGAGATCAGGTACGGGAAAGTCTTCCTTAGTACACAATTTGAGTCATTTCGCTCACTGAAGCTAGGGAATTCTAGGCAATTCTTTCTAATCGTCGTGCCTGGCAAGGCAGTGCCGACTCGCAGAAAGGGCAGCAGACCTGTTTCTGGTGGCAAGATTGATGATGTGGTGAGGTTTGAACTGGTGAACAGTCTGTCATCTAAGCACCACGAAATCATTCTGCTTTTTCTGTATCCAGGTTCATTCGTTCTAAGTTTGCAATTTTAACAAAATTATCCGATCCAACTGGACTCCCAGAAAGTCAAAACAAGAAAATGTGTGAAATTATTCGAGAGACGTTTTTAGTTTCCACTATAGCACTTGGAGTAAATCTCTTCTTCAGCACTGCCCACTTCAGTATGTTGCAGGAGGCCATCGACCACCACTTACTGCAGCATTGCGCTATCCTTAAACCCTTCCCGGTAGAAGATCTAGGAAGCCACTCCAGGTTAAAGGAGGTATTGTTCAGGCGAAGATTATGTTGTGAACTTCTGGCTGGGAATTGCAACTGCAGCCGAATTGGAGCAGGGAAGAAATGTGTCCTGAATCCATGTTGTCTTCAAATTTTCTAAACTAACTTTTACTAGTAGATGGCCTGCCCAAGTAAAATAGCTGTCTTCCCAATGTCCATTCCGCCTTCCTTTTTCGAATCGAAATCACCATAATGAGACAAAGGCGTCGGAAATGATTTAGACGGAGGAACAAATCCATCGTTTTTGTGACTGGGTGTTATTGACTTTTTGGCTACTCTACTACAAGGATAGTCCAGGTAGCGAACTGATACCGAACATGGTCTGGAAAATACGGCTCATGGGGCAATTCAAAACTGTGACGATGGTCCGCAGACGTATGGAAAATACGATTCATGTACCATTCTAAACCGTGGCAATCTTCTTCATAGTGTATATGAAAACAGGTCCTCCGACTCGTGCAGATTGCGCCCGGCCAACTAGAGTTGTATATGAGTTAGCACAACTTTGAATACAATTGTATGAAGTGAATTCAGCTGCTGGACTATGACTCGTTCCTAGAATGTTTTTCATTGCCGGGCAATTAGAGTTATTTGTACACTGAATAGAGTCACAAGGCCTGAGAAATTCGTTCGCATGACGTATGGACTCTGGGAGCAATCCGAGAGGATTCAGCAGAGCAACATGCGTCCCGCTCGTGGAGAAATCGGGGAGCGGACACGAAGAGGCCTCCGTGAGCTCCTCGGCTGGATTCTCTTCTTCCTCCGCTGCCTTCTGTACTGGCACCTCCACGGCCTCTTTCAGGTCAGTTTCTGCGATTGAGATACTGCTCACGGTGTTGGAAGCGCCATTCTGTGACGAATTCGCCTGCACGGAACCTCCAGAGCGAGAGATGTTCAGCTGTACAGATTCATGTGATGAAGGCATGCATAATGCAGGAGAGCCATGGGTAAGGCGAACGGTGGAATTCGAGCAGGATGCTATGCCTGAAACGGGAACTGCTTTGGAAGACCATGTACGACGTGAAGCTAACGCCGCACCGCCGCAGCTGCTGCCTACGAGCTAGGCAGCCATCGTTATTTCTCCAAATGCTTCGCTCCGTGATTGAATCCAGCGTCTGCCTCCAAGCTGGTGATGACCATCTCGATCTCGCCCTTCCAAAAAAAGTATTCCTGTTTACACGTTATATCGTTACAGAATCTTATGGAACAAAAGCTCGACGAGAAGTCGCAAAATGCGCCTCGGAGGTGGAAAATATGAAACAGTCAATTGAACTGTACGGATCAGGTCGAATTAAGAAGGGGGCAGCCGAATATTGTGAGCATTGGTGGTGACATTCGAAAACTACTCATTCTCATCCGACTCCCGGACGCAGCGAATCTCTCGAAGCACGTCGTAGAATGGCCTCAGGAAGCCAGGCCAGTAAGGTTTGAGGCACAGCATCAAAGGGCATGCACCAGCGCGAGTGCGTAGTTTGCATTCTTCCATACAAACAAATTAATACATATATCTAAAAATTTTTCACCAATTTTAAACGAAAATAAAACATTCTTAGAATTTTACTTCTAAGACTGTTTTATTTTCGTAGAAGTACATCTCTGAATACGCTAAATGTATGTAGTGTAATACGGGTATGGCCTGCCTCAAAATATTTTCCTGTGACTCCAATCCTATAGGCCAGGCACGGATACTCGGCGACGACTGCGTTCGAGAATTCTCTTGTTTTGCTCGCTGGTGTGTGGATCAAAGGATCCCTCCCGTCATCCTCCCGAAACTCCGAGCCCGCATTCCCCGCCGTCTCCGACTACTGTTGGCAGCCTGGGGACGAGGGCCACGTGGAGGTTCGCTGGGGACCCTAGTATCCTTCGCGGAGGAGGCCGCTGATACTCGCTCCAGTTAAAATTGAAAGCACAGCAAATTAGTTTGAGTCATGTCCATGGTCAAAAGGCATGGTCCATGCCCTTATTACACTAAATACATTTAGCATATTCAGACATATACTTTTCAGTATTCAGAAATATGTTTATACGTAAATAAACCATTATTAGAAATAAAATTGCTAAAAATTTCTAGATATAAATATTAGTTTGTACATACATCCATGAATTCATGGAAATATGCGAACGAGACTCACCCTGGGACTAGAGTTGGAGGCACGTCAAAATATTTTGAGGCATGCCCATGCCTCCAGGCATGCCTGTATTACAATACGTACATTTAGCGTATTTGTTAATGTACTTATACGGAAATAAAACATTCTAAATATACGTATTAATTTGTTTATACATACAGGCATGCATGTATGGAAGAATTCGAACGAGGAATACCCTCGCCCTGGGGCATGCCCTCTGAGGTTGTGCCTCCAACACTACCTGGGACATGCCCTTTGAGGTCGTGCCTCCAGCCCTTGTGACACCTGGGACGAGGTAAAAATGCCCACCGTCGCTTGTCGACTGTGCACTACGCCTTCGTGTTTTACCCTGATGCTAGCTCGTGTCCTGCTGTCTTCGTGGAGGGCGCGAGATCGGCAAAGGGTCGCTTTTCGGACACCACGCGTGCACTCGCTACCAGCGATCAATGGGTCCGTCTGCTGCCGATGCCACACGATGTGCCCTGTCTTGTTCCTCTGCCACAGCTCGGCCATACACTTTTGGAGCAACGTATGAAAGTGAGGCTTAGGCTGGGTGTCCCATAGCTCCCCCAAAGTTCTGCTTCACGGCGCCAAGTGACAGAGAGACTTCCAATTGTTTGCCTTCTTAAACTATCTCGTTTAGACCCTACTCACAGAATTGGATATGTTGAATCACCTCGAAATTGTACTTTACCCGACCGTGAATGGTGACTCGCCTTGGAAGACACCAGTTCCGCACAGCTTGAGTAACTAGTTTGTCTTAATGGTCTTGTTTGCAGTCCATCAAATTGGATAGTTTATTTCGTAATCTCAAGAGTAGCCCTACGTGGGCTACGTGGACCGCGACGACATAGACAGTGGTGAGGCAATCTGTGTAGTACTGAGGACAGATCGTACTGATGTGACTGAGAGCGTTGCTTCGTCGCGTTGTGGATCTGAGGAGTATCTGTATGTCAGACATCTGTAAAATTGTTTTCGTCTACCTCGACAACCTGTTACCTGTCATATCTCGACAAGCCTCAGGTCTAAGATATATATCCAAGATCCTGAGACGATAATAGACGACTTGTCTGGCATCTATATGGGTATAGATGCCAGACAAGAACTAGCCGCTCTCTACTGCCTGGAAGTGCACTGAGCTTATCTCGTCTCATGTAAAAGTTGTACAGGACAACAGAGTATTCAACAGAGAACTCAGAGAAACTCCTCCTCACAATCGAGCACTCCATGGGAAATAATCTTCACAGTCAATGTAAACTTTACTGAAGAAATCTGGCGCAGCTGACATCACAAACAGACGCCGCCAACCAAAGTGGGTGTGGCAATTTTCTCCTACATGCGGTCGTTCGGGACTAAGCTGCGAACTAGAAAACATGAAGGGGAACCTCCCGGAACCTTCCTCAGGAACCCAGCAACTCGACTCACAAGTGAATTAAAGTGGAAACGAAACCGTATTATTATAATCCTGGACTAGGCTTGCACAATGAAAGTACTGATATGAATCCGATCAGCAACCAGCTCTTTGTTTTGTTCACACAGTGTTTCTTCAATTGGACAGAACCTAGGGATATGTAGATCATCGTACTCCAAACGCTGAGTGATATCTCGTGGTCGTATAAAAAGCTCTTCCGGCCCAGTAACTATATTTTCCCCTTCTGTCTGCGTCCGACTGCCATGTGAAATTCATGCTGCCTCGTCTGCTGTTATCTGCTTCAGTTTCTGCAGAGCTGCACGTCCAGCACAATGCAACATTCCCACTGTAAGGTAATTGTGTGAAGCTAGAGAAGTACCGAAAACCAAAACAAAGCAAAGACAGCATAGGTTCGAAAGTTCTGAAAATATCACGTCCCATTGCATTGGTCCGAAGCAGCTTTACGATTGAGTACAATATCAGACACAGGTGGTTATCTAGAGAGAGCTGCCTTCAGCCCAGAAAGAAAACCACACCCTGTGTGAGACGCGTACCTTCAGTGTAAGACTCATAAAGCTCTTCGGTGACAGATGACGGCAGTGAATAATCCTTGCACTTGCAATTGTCGACTTTCTTCAACATCTGTTTGAAGTGTCGTACCTGCGCAAACATCCCCAGGTTTACAGATCAACACACATAGCGGGTTAGATGACTGCAGGCCGTTATGCACAACCGGAAAAACAAACACAACAAAACGATGGTCTGCGCTGAATAAGCCAGAGCAACATGGGAGGAAGCGGATACAGCGCTATTGAACTTGTTACATGGAATGTAGATCAAACTACTTTGTGGTTTATGCATGTTCAGAAAGCCAACCTCCTCCTTCCGAAGAAGAGTATAAGACCTCCCGGGCTGTCCGGCTCGAGCAGTGCGCCCAACACGATGGACGTAGGTCTTTGCGTACACAGGCATATCATAATTGACAACGTTTGCAACACCTTCCACATCCATACCCCTTGTCATCGCATCTGAGGCAATGAGCACTTGTGCCTGGCCATTCCGGAATTTTGCCAACGCTTTACTGTAAAGCATGATATAGAGGCAAGTCATTAGGATTATTGAAGCCAGCTACGAATGTCGAATAACAAACGAACGAAACCGACTTGGATATTCATCCCAAGATCAATAAATCAGAAGAAAGAGGAAATAACCTGCGACTTAGAGGTCTGTATGTAAAAATATATACTTATTAGTTATTTGGTCTACAAACCCCATCAAAAGCACACACGTCTTGGACAAACCTGCGGGGTTGTTGATGCTGCAAGCTTGAGTACTCAACCACCTTGACAATCCTTAGTAGCATTTTAGCAGAGTATATAGTCGATGAGTAGCCACTACAGAAGCAGTGAAAACAATGGTTGTTTGGCTGCAAAGCTGTTGTAAGAGTGCTACCAAATAGAAGGGCTTCTCTCCCGGTTTGCAGACCTGCAAAGATGTTCAGGACAACAATTTCTGTTACGGATCATGCGATGCAGGTTTGAACAAACACAGGCTCCAAGGCTACGTGAACTAAATTGAGTCAGCAACAAGTTATGGTGGCAACGTGTGTGAACAGAGATACGAACCATCCTGTAAGACTTAAGTTGTTCTGGTAGTTGATACCGGTTGCCAGCAGCACCAGGCGCCACATATATGGGGCAGAGAAGACCAAGTTGTGCAATTTTTGCTGGATCTCTCGTCAAGGTAGCCGATAACACCATCTTCATCAATCGTGGGAGTGCAGTGCCTCTATTTCCTCTTTCACCACGCAAAAAACTCACGAGAAATTGTAGGTGCTGAAGAGTGAACCCTTTCGTATTTCGAATATGGTCCATCAAGCGCCCTGGAGTTGCAACAAGTATGTCATCCTGGTTTTCGGCAAGGTCGGGAGTTGCAGCCTCAAATTTTCCAAAACTGTGGACCATCGACTTACGAATCTGAACCAATTCAGCCGCTTCAGCTACAATTGACGTTTGTCCCACAGATAGTCCCACTGAGAGACCAACTGCTGGTGCGATGGTGTCAAAGACTGCTTTAACCTGAAGAAACGCGATTACAAAGGTTTAAGGCCTTAAGAGAAGCTTGAGCGGATATATAGGAACTGGAAAGCCAGCCAAATATGGGTACTAGAGGTTACATAACAATAAAAGCCATCGATTAAAGTAGCGCTAACTCCCTGGTTTTCACGATCTTGAAATGTCCTGTACAGAAAATGGGCAGAATCTTTGAAGCACGTGAACAAGGAATTCCAAACTTTGATACATCAGCATGGATTTCCTTTCTATCTCATAGTTGTACAATCAAATAGTAAACATAGACCCGAAATAGGAGAGATTCTCAACATAAAGACTATCCAAACTACATTTCAAAAGAACCTCACCTGCGCAGCTAGATCCCTGGTCGGGAGCACTACGAGAACTCGAAGAAGACGAATCACCCGAGACGATACCTTTTGGACGATGGGTAATGCGTAAGATAGTGTTTTGCCACTCCCTGTTGGCGAGCTGACACAGACGTCTCGCTCGCTTAAACCAGGGCCCACAGTCTCGTGACACACGGCCATCTGTACTGGAAACAACGACTGTATTCCTGCCTTCGAAAGCATCTTGAAGTCTGCAATGTAACTCGAAACGCACCAAGAATCATCGGCTGGACATCGAGACAAACTTCAAGTGCTGGGCAGATAGAAGATGATTACAAACGGACGGACGGCAAGGCTACATGGTGTCCAAGCCAGGCACTTGTCTCAGGGAGGTGGCCTTGTAGGTATCAATATCAAGCGGATCACGCATCCATGGCAACACCGGCCCGTGGTCTTGCGACTCTGCTAGAACCAAAATAACATCACGACCCATGATTCTATCCACATCCCTCTCAATTGTGGAAATTCAGGTTCATTCCGAGAAGTATCGTCCGCTCCGAGTGCGTTCAACTCGTCAGTGTTCTCTGTAATTACATGCTCCTCCTCCTCATCCGGAACCCCTAGGGACTTACTGTTAGGCTCCTCTTCATTGATCTGTTTCCAAGGGCCACCATCTGCAATCAATCCACCTTTTCAGACAAATTGTGAAATTATGCATCTCTTTCTCGATCACCGGTTGAGGATATGAATGAATAAAGATAATACTGAGACTGTGCAAAAATGACTTACTTCTCCAGATACGCCTCTTGCGTTAACGAGCTCATCACCTGGTTCCAGATTGCCCCATCTTCGAATCTTCAACCTCTTTTCTTTCTTTCGTTTCTTCTCCAATTTGGACACTTGAAATTCAACCAGCTCCGGGACACTTCTGTCGATGTCGGCTGCATAATTCTCTTCCGCTCGCTCTATATTATCTTCACTTGTTAAAGTATCGTTCACCTTCCTTTCCTGTTCTTCCGTTCCAGGAGAAGCAGGAGCTTCCAGAGGAAATACATGTTCTTCAGTCGTATCCGAGACTTTCAGCTTCTTGAGCTTTTTGACCTTTACAGCAGAATCAGGAGCTTCGTGGTCAATCAAGGTTGCCAATTCTGCCTTGTGTTTCTGATGTTGCTATCGCTTTTTGCGCCTAGTATGAGGTTCAATTTCGCTCACTGCATTAGATTCTTCCTCAACCACAACCTCTGAGGCTCCCTCCTTACTTTCATCTCTACTCAGTGCAGGATCAGAATCCTTGTTCGAGACTTTCTCCCTGTTACCTGGAGAAGAACCTTCCGCTTTCTCTCTAAGCGGAAGCAGAGCAGCCCGCTCCCGAGCTCTGGCATTCAAACGATCTAATAGTAATGGAGAACCATGCTTCCGACTTTCTCCTCCCAGCCAGCGCTCCACCTGAAACATCGTTGCCCCATAAACAGCAGGCAAGCATTTAATCTTCAGGGCAAAATTGCTCGCGCACATCTGGACGAACCATGTGACAAGAAAACTGAACCCTTCTCACGAATCTCTATCACACAGACGTCCCGTACTCTTCTGCGCCAAGCTCCGCAAAATGTCCGCACGTGGATCACATAAATAATCTGATGTCTACTTCACTGACAATTTCGAGACGTGATCCGAGCGTAATCCGAGCGAAATCGGAAAAAAAGTAGCAACGACATGTTTTCAGATTTCAGAGAGGCCTTGACTGCATCCCTGACACAGGCTCGGGGTTTAGAGTTTAGTTTACAAAGTTGGAAGAAAACGCTACACAAAGGTTAGACATTAACCCCAGCGTGGTAAGTTAACCAAGGTAGCCTAATTAGTGTATGCGTAAATTCCATTCTTCAGATTAAGAGTATTTGAAAAGCGGCGATGATTGAGGGTTAGTGTATCAGACTATATGATCACAAGAATTCGAAACGCAAAATTAGTTTGCAGTAGGTCTTGGAGAATCAACGCAGCTGTATGTCATAACTTGTAAAAAATCTGATATTTCATGGATCAAAGATGAATTATTATATATTTGATTGGTAATCATTATTGAACTCAAATTAGTTCACATCTGAGTTAATTGTCATTATTCGTCGCTGCAGCTCTCCACAATGATCGCTTAATTCCTCGTTTTTTGTGCGCGCTAATACGTGTTAGAGTCAGTTAAAAATTCAAGCCGGCACTATTCGATGTATCCACACTAATTTCTCGCTTGGTCCCTAAAGTTCTCTCTTCCCAATCAATCTGGCAGTCTATAATTGCAAAAAAGAGTATAGTCAAGATGGTTATGCGGGCGATAAGGTTTGTGTCCAGATAAACTACAGAAACTATGAAGAAGTGTTTCGTACCAAAATTGATACGTAGAAGTAGTCTAATTGTAGTTGCAGTTGAAAGTGTGAAAATATACGTCGAAAGGAAGCAAAGGCGCAACTCGAGCAGAGTCGACAACTTAGAAGAACCTTTGCGCGGTCTCTTTCGATCATCGTGGAGTCCAGGGCCGTTTGACTACGCTGCTCGGGAGGTCGAGAAGCGGACGAAAGCTCCGCCTTTACGCCTCTAACCGCGGCTAAATCTGGAGGCGGACACGGGAGCGCCCTGATAGACGACGAGGCCGACGGGCTCTGACAGGACATCGGAGCACGAAAGTGGGAGCTCTCGGCGGGCGATGGATCTCCGGGTATCGGAGGAAACGGGCGAGCTCTTGGCGGGCGGTGGATATCGGAGGTTCCGGTTATCGGAGGAAAGCCTGGAGGAGTACGATACGGGCGACCGCACCGGTGAGCCGAGTGCAGTTCGGAAGTGATGGCCGATGTTCGTGGAAGCTTCGAATTTAGCAGGAGGAGAGCGGCAGGCGGTTTAGAAAATGATCATTGTAAGAAGAACCTTTCTGCGCGGTCTCTTTCGATCATCGTGGAGTCCAGGGCCCCGGCTCGTCGTAGAACCTACTGTTGGGATGTGACGCGGAGCGAGCGAGAGGCGGAGGTGGAAGGTGGGAATCACTCCCACGTTTTTGTCGATGTGGGAATTTCCGCATTTCCGCATTTGCGCATTTGCGCAATTCCGCAGTTGCGAGTTTACCTGCGAGGGTGCATGGTTCCGGGCACGCAGAGGGGAAGGGGTCTTGGCTGTTCGATCCATGAGCGATGGGACTTCGCATCCAAATCACCTCCTCCTCCTGCTGGTCCGCTGCAGGAGCAGAGAAGGGCCGTCCCGGCTCCTTCTCCGTCTAAACGCCACGTAATTCAGGGGACAGGCCTAATAATTTCGGAAAACTGATTTGTGCCTGTCCTTCTTGTCCACCGCAAGCGTAGTCCTGCCTCGCCCTCGCCTGTCCAGTCCGGTGCCTCCGTTCTATATCCATTTTACTGTCAATTCTGCGATGGATCCGATCCGTTTGGAGGTTATTTGTCGCGGCGTGCACCTTCCGGAATTACGCGTGTAGCCATAGGCCAACCGCTGTCAAATAAGGCTGAAGATTTTAGTCTGTTTGCAAGAACTGGCAGGCATTTGATTCTCGATCCTCGGATCGATCGAACGACCTAGGAACCCCACTGTCTTTTTGCAACCCCATCGTCTTTTGGTCCTTACCCGTTCATCGCCTTAACTTACTTTTGCAGATACTCTTCGTGGGAGAATGTTGTATGGCCCTGCTGAAAGATTTTTCCGAGTCTACCTAACAACTGCATGAACGAAATCTAGATTTCCGGTACTGGATACACAAATCTGGATGGAATGATCAACAGTATGTGCGCCTCTGTAGAAATTCAGATCTCGGGAGCCCTTTATCATCTTGTGTCATGATCAAAGACTCGGAGTGATGCTTGAATAGATTCCTTGGTCCACCACCAGATCTACAGCATCAACAAGCTCATGGCCAAGGCAAAACCTCCTTTCATATGAAAAGTGAGGGCTTCTCAAACGACATGAAACTCTCATGGCTAACGTTATTGGTCCTCTAATTTCAGACGATTATTTGACTCAATCGTTGGATGTCGCGCAAATCTAGGCAGAGAAACTTTTTCTCTTCTTCCAGAGGCAGGTGGATCCGAAAAGATACATCGTCCTTACGTGGAACATGATTTTCTTTCTCTATGCGAGCACCACATGAAGAAAGAAAAGCACGAACCGCTCGATTGGTGCGGGCTAATGCGAATAAGTCAATTCGAGCTCGTATTTCTACGAGCTTGAATTGTTTTATTCGTCGAGCTTCCGGAGTCCAACTCGCTTGCGTAAATTCATCACGATGAAGTTTCCTACTTTCTGAGCTTTGTTTGACCAGGTTTTGGGTTAACGGCCATTCACAAGAATTTTTATGCTTTTTCCAGTGCCTTGCGAAAGGAATATTATGCTTGGCGTCGAAGATTTGCAAGGTACGCGTCTGGTTTGAAAGGCTAGCTGACAACACCACTCTGATACAACTTTTAGGTTATGACATTCGAGTTCCAAAAGTCAGACGTTTGATTGGGCATCTACTGAGTTTACACTGAACGTTTGATTTTATTGATCTGTATGCATTCACGGTTATATGAAGCTCAGATCACAAGCAGTTGCTGTAAAGACAACCAAAATTCACTTTGGCTTTTCTCATCCGAATACGGCTGGATATTTTTAGGACATCAAATTATTCTTTTCCGGAGGTTAGTAAAGAGGTTAAGCTGCACTGACTGCTTCTGGGTCCACCTACAACAAGTCCAGATCCAATGCAAAGTTGCAAACTGTTTTCGCTCTCTCTCCGTCCGACTCTGCTCTCATGCACAAGGAGGAGAGAGAAGCGGCGAGAACGGCAAGATCTTTTTGGGAAACGCACTCCTAGAGCCTATTGATCTTGTATGTTGCAGTCTAGGGGCCAAGCAGCTTTTTGGGTGATAACTTTACACGGCTGACTGTCATTGACACTGGAACAGATCTTCAGCCATCTCTTGCTTTCACGAGTGGTGAATTCATTTAAAATTTACTGTTTCACCTCCGTTCATTCCGATTTCTGATGTTTCTGATATTTCGTTCTTGCATGTAAATATTTGAGCTACTCACTACCACACTTAACAGTATAATGGATCCACTTACACTTGGTCACCACTGAGGCTGGTGCTGGTAAGAAAAAGATGTTGCTATTTCAGAGATCACATTACCTCTGGAATATGTTCACAAACTTCCCAATCGAAAGCGTTTGAATAGGTCCACTAGACATATGAAGAAAAGAGTGTGGACCATCTCACATGATCAAAGTTCGGTCCACTTTGTACCTTTACATAGATCCCACCCTTTAATTGACTGACTGTTGGATGCAATGTGCCACCCATCTCGATTCCACGCACCATGCATTACAGACTCAAGCTTTTTTCGTTATAAAGTTCAACTTTCATACTTCCTAACAAATCAAGATTTTTAACAAACCTTTTGTTCGGTTTATGATCTGTATCAAATGCCTTATGTTCTTTTGCAACGGGGTTTGAATCTAAGATGCTTCCCTATACTCTTGAAAGAATATTATTAAAGATAGCCTCACTTCTTGCCTTGCTTGATGGTTGAAGTCAAAATAGATGCGATTACAATGGGTGACTATGTGAAGAAATGGTATCATACCTCAGGAGTGATGTACTTGTGTTGAAATGCAGGAGCAAAAGAGAGAAAAATTGGATAATATATAGGTGAACATTCTATAACAAGTATATGTAGACGAATCTAAAGGTTGTGTATACTCTAAGAACCTAGGTTGTCTTTTACTATCATCATACGGGACACAAAAAGGATGATTTTGTGGAAATGAACTCCACGTGAATGTAACTGAAAGATCGTACTTCTTAAAATAAAAAATAATGTTTTATTTAGTGGTATGGAAATTTCAAAGATCCAAAAGTCGACACACATCCGGATGATCCAGTTTTATACATGTATGAAAGAGTATGAATGTTCACTCGAGAAAATGGAGAAGTAACTGAAAACTTGAAGATTTGTTGTTATTCTTGTTATTCATGATTGAACGGAGTAGAATTTCTTTGTTTGCTAGTATTGCTACAATTGTCCCAGATTATTAGGAACTTCGTATCGATGACTTCTGTCAAATCGCATGAATAATTCATATAAATTTCTTCGACTCTTGAGCACTCAAAGTCAATGGCAGTAAAATATTGATTCACATACCTTCAATTATAGCAAATATATCTATGTAGGCGAGGGTAGCTGGTTACTCATTTGATTCCGCATCCTGCCGGACGTCTTCTCAACATTGGGCATCTGAAACTCTTGGAAACTGTGTCAAGGAGTGTAGATTATTCATGTAAGGAGAATTTCTTCGTTTCTTGCTGCAGGTAACTCCGTCTTTCACCTTCCATTCTGTTTCTGTTTAGGATTTTGAGTCCTTTGAAGATTGTAAGGGCTCTCTGGATGACGTCGGGATCATGCGAAGGGGGAATCGAAAGATGGAGAAAAAATAGGAGATTTCGTGAGCTGGTTTCGTCCTAGACTTGTCCTGTGTGAGAAGAGACATAAAATCTCGAAATAAGTTTCCGTTGATATCCAGTCTCCACCAGAAGAATGAAGAGGTCCTTTTCAGTGCTTCCGTGCTTCAGTTTGCTGTAAACATGCATTGACCGAAAAAGTTTGGGAATTCGCACTAGGTGCATGTGCCAGGCAATTGCCATGCAGTCTGCGAGATGTTTCACTACAAAGATGGCTCTCCATAAACATTTGCTTTTGGTCTACCAATGTGTAGTCAAAGCTTCCAATTAAACAAGATGTTTGCCAGTGACAGAACATGGAGGGCTTTAAATAGCATTGCAGAGAAATGTATAAAACCTTCGATCGAAAACTCCTTATAACGGCAGATATAACGGGCGGGGGTTCAGGTTTCGATTCCCAAAGGTACGTTACATGTAAATTGCATGGGTGTTTGAAGATGTTTGCATGAATCATCATGTATCTGCCTTTGAAGATAACCTACTTCATTTCGTGGATTTATAGCCTCAATTTTCTGCGCGTTGTTAAGTACTTAAATATTGATCGATTCACCAGGCTTGACTGAAGAAAAGTATTTAAACCTCTTTCGGTTGTCAGGAAGATTTTATTGGTTCCAATATTTAACACTAGAGAAGAGGGAATGTCATGGAAAAGGTGACTAACACTTAAATATCTACGCACATAAATCCCCTTCTCCCATCTGCAAACGTCCCCCTTCTCAAGCAGATCACTTCCGTAATGAAGAGAATGAACAAGTACATTTTATTATAAGTCATATTTGATTCATGTCTTCAGATTACTATAGTTGTTTGTTTCTATTATATATAAAAACGTTTGAGGCCAGAAGTGAAGAATCATATTATCTTGAAAATAGAAGAAAGTACTGTGTTTAAATTATCTTGTATTTTAAACTTTTACAAATACAATCTTGTTTCTATCATATTAAATAAAATCATAATATCTTTTACTTCATATCTATTTTTATATCAAACCGTGTTCAGTGTATAAACTTTAGGAAGAAGTTCTTATAGACTATGGATATTTTTAATAAAAAGTTATTATTGCTAGAATGGGTGAATTTTAAAAAAGGTGTCACGCATATCAAAAGGTAGGCAATGGGTACTCATTGCAAGTCATTAGAATCATACAACATTGATGACCAATGAGGAATTGAACTTACTCTTCATAATTTTGGAACGCGAAGTATGAAGCTATGTTTACTAACATTTTGCCACAATACGTAAATTTGATACTTCTATGTTACTAAATATAAAAACATCGTAGTAGAAGAGCCGAATCATCCTTTGTGCTAAACAAAACATCCAAGTTTTACGTGACCACAAAGACGGTGAAATGTACAGTTGTTACAAACATCATTTTGCTTGAGCTCCTAAATTCCTTTTGTGAGTTTTGTAGGTTATAGGGGGGCATGTTATTGTTTACCTTTGGTTATTTGTCAGAAATTAGACTAGAACTTCACAATTTAGGGTTTAGGTTAAAAATGGCATATGAACTTCTTCAGATAGAATGCGGGGCATTCCTTTGAAATTATTTGATCTTTTACAGGGTTGTTAAGCCATCACATAAGGATTTTTTTTATAAAGATAGCTGAGCAGCACGGTACTACTGCAACATGCAATAGCTAGCTACCGGTATAGTTTTCCGGTTAGATGATGGGTATTTAGTTCTTCAATTATGATTAAGATCTGAAAATAAAGAAACTTGTTTGCATTTTGATGTAGTTTTGCTTAATATTTTTTTTAGCGACAGTTGTCATGTTTGATTGAGTCACTCAATGTACCATAATGTTTTGGAGGCCCAGAAGGCACTAAGGATAAAATAAACCTTGGAAACTAATTTTGGGTTGTTCGATATAAAACTAACTTATCATATTCAAACACATGCAGAAAACAAAATACCAAGTCAAAGCTCTGAACATGACTTCATTAAAAAATTCAGAGTGAAGGAACAAGAAGATGGACATGGATTTTTTAGCCTTGTTGTCGTTTGCTAATAGTTTTCAAATCATTACATCCACAGAGAATATCAAATATTTTTTATCTCACTTCATATAGTTTGGCTATAGTGATGGACATGCAAGAACTATCAATACTTAATGAAACTATGAAGACATTTGTGACGCTAATTTAACGAAGGATGCATCAGACAAATAAAAAACTAGCGATTGACAAGAATAGGAAACAGATATGTTCATCGAAGAAATGTGGAATGTAAAGAATTTAAATACCAAATTATGCGATCATTCTGGCATGTACAAGATGCAAAATAAGCAAAGACATAATAAAATCTTTCAAGTAATTTAATGGTTTGGAGAAGTTGTGAGCGGTTTCGACACATGTTTGTCTCTCTCATGATGGGTTACTATCTTATCTTACTATAATATATCTTACCTTGATGTGGGTTGCAAAAGAAAGAAAACTCTTTATTTTGCACGACACATCAAGTACTTTTTTCAATTTGATGATCGATCATAGATACAAACATGATGTAGAAAAGCTTCCCACAAAATGAGTTCGAGTTGAACGAAGTTTGAAATTGAAAAATTTAATCCAAATATTTATATGTTCCAATTCTTTTGAGAAGTCTAACAAAATGCAAAGAAACTTGTAGCAATCTTTTAGTAATCATGAAATTGCATCTCGGTTTGTAACGAATGTAGAAAAGATGTATCAAGTTAAGGTAAATCTTAGATTGATCACTTTATCATTGAATGAGAATATATGATGTGCATGATACAAAAAAGCAAATGTCAAACCTTGGTGATTTCTGATAGATAAAGCATTGATGGTTTAGATAAGATGCGAGTTATCTTTTGTGAATATCTTAAGATTAGATAATGAAAGATGACTTTTACGCCTACTAATCATATGACATAGACTAGAACTTAGACTATGAAAATTCCATAGTCTTAAAAGGTGACTGACTCTTTTAGAACAACGTTAAAGTAGATTGGGTTTTTCAGTCATTTTCTTCAGTGTTTGGTTTGAATTATCACTTGTTTGCTTCTGAATGGTTCCACGTTCTTCTTTCTTTCATGCACTTTGTTGACTTCACGTATAGAAGCATGATCGAGTTATGAGACATCGAGGGTAAATATATATATATATATTGGAAAATCTTGTGATATATGTTAATTATTATAAACTAGTTATGATATCATAGGATTTAATTCAAGAATTGATCAACTGATTTACAATCAATATCTAGTTAGCTCAACTATGATTAATAATCAGTATTCATTTATATTAAATATATATAAATTTTTTGGCTAAAATTTATTCGATATTTCAATAAATAATTTTGGATATTTAGTGTATGTAGTTTTTTTACAGGCATTAGGTAATTGAGAATATATTTAGAAATGTTTATCATTGTGAATATAAATTTTGAAATACATGTCAGGCATGAGAGAGAGAGAGAGATAAATACAAAACAATGACTTAAAGAAGTTATTCATTTCGTTGTATTTACCCGAACGTCATCGAAAGTA